CCTTTTTTTGCTTAACAGTTATTACTTACATTTTAAATATTCAGGGGTTAATGAATCACTTTCCAGCAGATGAGTAGAGAGTATTTTATAAACCTCTGAATGTTCCCCCTCTGGGATAAAATTAAATATACTTTGATCCACAAGATCAGACTGAAAAAGAAATTTTTAAAAGTAAAATAATTTTAATGATTCAAGAGACAATTATTTTCAAAGTATATAATCACTATGAAACAACAGAGGAGCATATGTTTAACTTTCAATTATCTATGAAATCCAACAAATGTCAAGTTACAGACCACATCTCAAAACACAAGACTGAGAAGCTGGAAGGTGAACATTCCCTTCACAGCTCTGACACTAGTATCACTAGATCCACGATCAGTATGACCTTGAAAGCTTGATAATTATTTGCAAAGCTGTGTTTCACCAAATTTGAACATTTTAAAATACAATGGGACTAAGAGTTAATTAGAAAAATCTCTGGCCACAAGACATAGTCTCACCACACATTTAAACCTGTGGTAAACGATGGTGGTACACGCTACTGCGAAGGACTAGTAACAGGCTACGTGAAGAGGAAATTTGACTTTGGTGTCCTTTCAAATGTCCAATATGTCCCTTCTTTTTTTTAATTTAATTTTTTTGTCCTTTCTTTTTTATTTCATCTTTCCCAGGCATCTATCTTGTATCCCATTGTTAAAAAGCTTTTGCTTTTGGCTATCCTCCCTCAAAAAAGGGCAACTAATATGCTAAGCATTAGAATTCTTGCTAATATATGACTGTCATCATGACTCCTTAATCATTCAACAGTCATCTGACAAACATCAGGTTGCCTACAAAGTGTCACGGCGGTGGAATTACAGGTGAATACGACAGCTCCTAGTCTTAAGTACCCCTGAAAAGAAAACTTCCATGACTTCGCATTTGCTACCAAACCCAGTGCATTCCGCCTGGTTTCTCTGTATTTTCAAACTGTTCTGTGGAATCCTGGGGATACTGAGGTGGTGCTCTCCAGCAATGGGGAGGTGGGAGTGGGCGGCGGCGAAGTAGAGAGGGGCTGTGAGGCAGGGCTCAGGGTCCTGCCCCTGCATTCGACCACAGCAGTTTTTTTCTGTTTATATTTGATACATCTGTAAAGATTCTGTTGGAAGAGCTCCACTGCTTAAAAAGAAAAAACAACAGAGAGAGCCACTGAGGATGGTGGGAGAGGAGAAAAGAGTGTTTTCTACTCTCCCGATAAGCCATACACCCTCATCCTTTCTTATGTCTTTTCTCTAGCCCTCCCAGCCCACCCTACAAAGGGGGATGGCTTTCCCCCTCTCTCCACATCTTTGTATCCTCCATCTTTCAAAGACCACTGCAAATTATTTCCTTCAGAAAAGCATTCCCTTAAGAAAATATAAAAAAAGCATTTCCTTAAAACCATAATCCACATTAAAAATAATAAAACTTTTTTAGTGTTTATTACTCATAGCATTCACTTCTGTTAGTTATAAGTCAGCCTTCTGGATCCATGGGTTCTGCCTCCATGCATTCAACAAACCACGGATCAAAACTATTTGGTAAAAAACAGATGATTGTCTGTACTGAACATGTACACTTTTTTTCTTGTCATTATTCCCTAGACAATAGAATATTATGACTTTATGCATTTACATTATATGAAATATTATTAATATAAGTAATCTAGAGATGACTTAAAGTATATAGAAGGATGTGTGTAGGTTACATGTAAATACTACACCATTCTGTATAAGTGACTTCAACATGCAGGGATTTTGGTATCCCCAGGGGTCAGGGGAGTCTGGAAGCAATCCCCCAAGGATACCAAGGGATGACTCGGGATATTTTAATATCTATGATCTGTTGTTCCATAGCTGAATAAAAGGGCCCTATCTCTTACACCTTCATCCTCCTCCCTTCAAATCAAGGCACATTAACACTGTGCTTTGCATATTACAGTTATTAGTACAACAAATGACTGTGGACTAAGGAGTTATCTGATAATGGCTTAAGGAGTAACCACACTAAAAATATCTGTATTTTAATAAGTGGATTCTTCTAGAAGTCTGAAAAGCCTCTAGAACTGAAGGAATGAACTGAAAACTCAGGTATGAATAATAGAAATGCTAAAAAACTGACTTTTATTGACAAAATAAAGTATTAATTTTCATTATGAGAATGATTATAGTTTTCTACTCTTATTTCTTCTACTACTTTTTCAGTAAATTATGGTTTGCCCTATTTCACCCTTGCTTTTCCATCTATAAATTCACAGGATGTTTCATATTCACAGAGAAAAGAACACGAGTGGTTAGTATTGCGAGTAGCATGATCACAAGTGTTGCTTCCCCAGTTTCTGCTGCCACTTTGTAATAGGTGTCAAACTTACCGTTAACCACTATACTTAAAATCCCTCAATGAGACTGATCACACTTGGCCAGGCATGGTGTGGCTCATGCCTGCAAGCCCAGCACTTTGGGGGGCCAAGGTGGGAGGATGACTTCAGGCCAGGAGTTCGAGACCAGCCTGGGCAACACAGCAAGATCTCATCTCTACAAAAAATAGAAAAATCAGCCAGGCATGGTGGCATGTGCCTGTAAGTCCCAGCCACTCAGTAGAGGCTGAGGTGGGAGGATCACGTGAGTCCAGGAGTTAGAGCCTGCAGTGAGCTTTGATGACACTACTGCACTCCAGCCCAAGCAACAGAGCAAGATGCTGTCTGAGGGAAAAAAAAAAAAAGTAGCTATCTGGATCCTTTTATCTCCCTCACTCATTTTCATGAAGAAGAAAGTCCTGCTGATTTATTTATTCATATGACATAAATTAACAGCCTTTGTTTTTCCTATATTAGGTCGACGTTACCATTTAGTAGAAATTATCAACTATTATCAATTATCTTTTTCCTTAGGTAAATAATCTACAGTTAAACAAATGACTCCTATAGACAATACTTGCTTAAAAGGGACTGAAAGCTCCTTCAAAAAAATGTGAAATATATTTTGGATGTAACATTTTTAAACAACTGTGTTCCTTATTTACAGGCATAAGAGACAAAACTTTTGGCCCTATCAAATAAGCCTTCACTATCATAACTATTCAAAAAATTCTAAATCATATTTCTGCATACTGCATTTTATACTGAAGACTATACTAGCTTTCTTAAAACTTCAAACTCCGAGGCTCAAGTGATCCTCCTGCTTCAGCCTCCCAAATAGCTGGGGCTATAGGTATGTGCCACAACACCCGGCTAATTTTTCTATTTTTAGTAGAGACAGGGTCTCATTCTTGCCCAGGCTGGTCTTGAACTCCTGAGCTTAGCAATCCTCCCACCTTGGCCTCCCAGAGTGCTAGGATTACAGGTGTGAGCCACTGTACCTGGCCAGATTTAAAATTTAAATTAAAAAATTTTAGGTCATTTTCACCAGCGATTAAAATGGCAAGTTTTAATTTTTCAACAGGACTGAATTATAAATGCTAAAGTCTAATTTAAGGATTTGCCAATGTTTCCTCTCTTCTGGGCAACAGCCAAAATTCTTTGACAAAACAGGTATGCATATTAAAACACAAATAAAGGGACATTATTGTTCTAAACCTTTGTTTAGCACCTGTTACAGTTTAATGATTAATGACAACCCAAAACAGAAAATCACATTTTTTTCTTATTGTGTTTGATCCTGAACAAGGATTAGTTTTCTCAAAATAAGCCTGTATTAATGTTTTCACATCGCCAAATAACATACAATTCAGCAATGTCAGTGATGTGAAGTATCCACAGTAACTAGGGAGCAGAAAAAACTGTTTAACTATTCAGCCATAAAAAAATAATGAAATCCTATTCGTGGATGGAACTGGAGGACATTATGTTAAGTGAAATAAGCCAGGAACAGAAAGTTAAACACCGCATGTTTTCACTCGTATGTGGAAGCTAAAAAGAGCTGATCTCATAGAAGTGAAAAGTAGAATAGAGGGTATCAGTGGCTGAGGTGGGTAGGGGAAAGAGCGGGGATAGGGAGAGATTTGTGAAAGGATACGAAATTACAGCCAGAGAGAAGGAATACGTTCTAGTGTTCCGTACTACTGCATGATGATTATAGTTAATAGTATACAGTTTCCAACAGCTAGGAGGATACTGAATGTTTCCAACACAAAGTAATGATAAATGTTCGCGATGATAGATATACTAATTACCCTGATCTGACCATTATACATTATATGTATCACAACATCACACCATAAATATGTATAATTATGTGACAATTTAAAAATTTTCAAAGCTTGTTTTTAATAAAGTATACTATTAATTCAGTATGGAATGAAATGGGTCTACCTGGATCAGCAGCAATCGCTCTTGCTCAAAAATTTACCTGCCAGTCTACATTCTTTGGATGACACAAACAATTTTAAAAACCCAGAAGATGGCTGGGAATGGGACATATAGGAACTCTGTACTATCTTGATTGTTCTGTAAATCTAAAAATGGTCCTAAAATTAAAAATATTTAGCAAAAATACAGGAGGGAAGGGGAAGGTGAGGAGGGTTTTATGACAGGGGGAATGTTAATAATCAAACACTTGATTCCAGTTAGATCACTCACATGTTGTCTATTTCAAAATGCAACTAAACCTTCCCTCACTAAAGATCTACCCCCACGTGCCATTAGGAAGGGATTTTTAAAAACAGCCGCATCAAGTAGCCTACTTATTTTCATATATTCAATAAATAATCACTGAGTACCTCCCTGAGAAACTAGCTAGCTCCTGTGGATACAGAGATAAAGCCCTTAAGAAGTTTACAACTATCGTAACTATCCAAATAAATAGAAAATTACAATTTTCTTTAAGTGTCACTATGGTAGCATGTACAAGGTCATAGTAGAACACAGAGGAATGGCATCTAATTCTGAATGGAGTTCAAGGAAAGTGCAGAGAAGCAGGCTTTTAAAAACTGTGAACACATTGCAAATGCCGTTCTGATTATGACTAAATTAAAGATTACATAGTTTCTATAAACACTAACTTTTTTTAAAAAACCCAATATAATTGTATATGGTTTAAAAGCATAGAATTATATTTGTTTTCAATTACTTAATCTTTATCTTAATCCCATAAAGGGTTTCTTCCCTTGGCTTTTCTTGCTATGTACATATTTTTTTCTTAAAGTTGCCAAGAAAATTCAGTTAATCAGTCTGTCTTTTCTCTGCCTATGTTAGTCTACTTACATGTTGCTGTAATTTCAGGTTTTACTCTCAAACAATTTTTTAGATGTTGGGTTTATCCTACTATCTGAGCTTACTAGAAAACAAAGACCCAGGCCGGGTGAAGTGGCTCACACCTGTAATCAGCACTTTGGGAAGCCGAGGCAGGAGGATTGCTTGAGGCCAGGAGTTCAAGACCAGCCTGAGCAAGAGCGAGATCCTGTCTCTACAAAAAAATAGAAAAATTAGCTGGGCTTGGTGGCATGTGCCTGTAGTCCAGCCTGTAGTCCCAGCTCCTGAGGAGGCTGAGGCAAGAGGATTGCTTGAGCCCAGGAGTTTGAGGGTACAGTGAGCTATGATGAGACCACTGGACTCTAGTCCAGGCAACAGAGAGAGACTCTGTTTCAAAAACAAAAAAGAAAAGAAAAATAAATAAAGCCCCTAGAAAAGCAGTAAAGTCAAGCTCTTTTCTGTGTAAATCAAAGAAATTAGCAAATTACTTATTGCCTGGCTTTCAGTAAGAAATTGCCCTTTTAAGTCTGGCCTTTTAAGTATAAAGTCCATTGTCTTTATCAAGTATGAAGTGTCAGAGTAACCAGAGGAAGGCAAATACCGCTTTTCAATGTCTCTTGGAAGAGACACTTACAAAGCAGATTACTTTGCATTGTTAGAGAGACAGATATTTTAAGAGTAATGCATAAATAACTTTAGAATAATTATACCATGAGCTCCATCTTAGATAAGAACATTATATATTAAATAAATCTGCAAATTCCCTCAAAAAAACCCATCAATTGCAGCATAGCACCTAGTCTACAGTCTGGCACAAAGTAGATACGCAATAAATACATGTTAGTAAAAAAGAAAGTACACAATTCAGGTATTCACCATCCTAATCAGAATTATACAATATACTTCTTTTCTAATTTTCTACCTTTTTGATCATATTGATAATGAATTGAATATGGCCATTATGACATTATCAGTTCAAGTCACACAGCATAAAAGTTCTGTATCTACTATTGTGTGTGTGTATTTTGAAACAGGGTCTCACTCTGTCTCCCAGGCTGGGGTGTAGCGGCGTGATCACAGCTCACTGCAACCTCCAACTCAGGACTCAAGTGATCCTCCTGCCTCAGCCTCCCAAGCAGCTGGGATTACAGAACTGTGCCACCATGCCCAGCTAATATTTTCAAAAAAGTTTTTTTGTAGAGACAGCAGTCTCGCCACGTTACTCAGGCTGCTCTCAGTCCTGGGCTCAAGCAATGCTCCCACCTCGGCCTCCCAAAGTGCTAGGACTACAGGTGTGAACCACCACCCGGGGCCTTGTAAGTCACTCTTCTGAGAAATTTATGAGTTTCTCTAATTTCAACAAGTATTTCAGTAGAAATTTAGTTATTCTCAAGATATTATCAATGATTTAACAACATCTTTACCAGGCTGCTTAAAAGGGAAGCACTAAAAAGTTAGCACTAGAATAAAGAGGGCAGGAAGAACAGAGGATAAAATGGTACAGTCATGAAGTGCGCAATGACGTTTCCATCAACGACGCACCACATGTATGATACAGGTCCCATACGACCACAGTGCAGCTTAAAAATTCCTATTGCCTAGTGACACTGTAGCTGCCATAATGTCATAGCTCAAGGTTACTCATGTGTTTGTGGTGATGCTGTTGTCAACAAACCTACTGTACCTCCAGTCACACAAAAGTTTAACAATATAATTATATACAGCACATAATACATAATAATTATAATAAACAACTATGTTACTGGTTTATGTATTTATTACATTATACTTTTTTATGATTATTTTAAAGTATACTCCTTCTACTTGTATATTTTTTTAAAGTTAATTGTAAAACAGCTCAGACAGGTCCTTCGGGAGATATTCCCAAAAGAAGGCATTGTTTTCATAGGAGACGACAGTTCCATGCATGTTATTGCCCCTAAGACCTTCCAGTGGGACAATATGTGGAGGTAGGAAACAGCGGTATTAATGATACTGACTCTGTGTAAGCCTAGGCTAATGTGTGACTTTGTTTTTAACAAAAAAGGCTAAAAAGTCAAAAAAAAAAAAACTTTTAAAAATAGAAAAAACCTTATAGAATAAGGATAAAAAGAAAAAATATTTTGTGCAACTGTACAATGTGTTTTAAGCGTTATCACAGAAGAATTAAAAAGTTTTTAAAAATTAAAAAGTTTACAAAATAAAAAGGTTACAGTGAGCCAAGATTAATTACTGAAGAAAAAATTTTTTTAACAAATTCAAGGTAGCCTAAGTGTGCAGTGTTTATCAAGTCTACGGCAGTGCACAGTGATGTCCCAGCGCTTCACATTCACTCACCACTCACTGACCCACCCAGAGCAACTTCCAGTCCCGCAAGCTCCACTCGTGGTGAGTGCCCTAAACAGGGGTACCGTTTGTTTACCTTTGATACTATAATTTTACCGTACCTTTTCTATGTTTAGATACACAAATATTCACCGCTGTGTTACAACTGCCTACAGTCCTCAGTACAGTAAAATGCTGAACAGGTTTGTAGTCTAGGCGCAACAGGCCGCTACACCACACAGCCTAGGTGTGTACTAGGCTATACCATCTGGGCTTACGTAAGTCCACTCTGGGATATGCACGCAATGACAAAACTGCCTAGGAACACATTTCTCAGAACATCTCTCTGTTGTTAAACAACACGTGACTGTAGTCAAACGTTAAATTATTACAGATTCAAGTCATGACCGACCTGAGAAAACACAGCCATGCTAAAACACATATGTAGAGCTCTCATCCCCACCCTTGAACCACCGTCCAACACTGTTCTCAAAGTCTACTTTCTAGTGCTTTAGAACATTTGAAATAGGCACGTCACAAGAAAGAGATTATATGATTTATATACTTACTGGTAAATGTTCAAGTAATGAAGTTACACTCTCAGACACATATATTATGCTTCCATCTGTCATGATTGCTAAAAAAAAACCATCAAGAGCCTGAAATTAAATATAATGGTCAGTTAAACGAAAAGAAAAAAGTATTTCACAGGACAGAAATAAAAATCTAATCTAAATGACAAGGGATTTTATGAGGAAACATCCAGAGTACTGTCAATAATGCTGGCCTTATCCCTTTACAGTCCCTTAGTACAGTGGTCCCCAACCTTTTTGGCACCAGGGACTGGTTTCATGGAAGACAATTTTTCCACGGACCGGGGTATGGGGGGTAGGGGTGCACCTCTCTGCTAATGATAATCTGTATCTGCAGCTGCTCCCCAGCGCTAGCATCACTGCCTCAGCTCCACCTCAGATCATCAGGCATTAGATTCTCACAAGCAGCGCGCAGCCTAGATCCCTGGCAAGCGCAGCTTACAGCAGGGTTTGTGATCCTATGAGAATCTAACGCCCCCACTGAGCCGACAGGAGGTGGAGCTTACGCGGTGATGCAAGTGATAGGGAGAGGCTGTAAATACAGATGAAGCTTTGCTTGCTCTGTTTGCCCACCGCCCACCTCCTGCTGTGCGGCCTGGTTCCTAACACACCACGGACCAGTACTGGTCCTTGGTCCAGAGGCTGGAGACTGCAGCCTCAGTATGTAATGTCTGTCTGCCTATTTTTAAATGCTTCTGAGGGAAAAATATCACTCTTTGGGCATCTCTTGGACAGCTGATTTCTAAGACACAGACTTGATGTTCTACCTTCATCGCTATGTATATTTTGTGATCCGACCATATATACACAGTATCGATGGCTTATTTGAAGAAAATGTTAACCTCTCCAAAGCACATACCACCTCAATAATATGTTTTAGGCACACAAAACAACACATTGTTATCATTTTGGATATGTTAACAGAGAGGTGTACGATTGAGGTGTAGGTATCTAGATATATAAGAAATAAAGTGAAAGGGAGTGGTAGGAAATTAAGCTAAAAAACTAGGCTGAGGTCAAATCACAAAAGGCCGTGAATACCAGGTTAAGACATACGGACTTTTATTCTGTACACAATGGGAAGCCAACAGAAGATTTTAGGGCAGGGGGTTCTGCTTCAATGAGAGTAGTATGGAAATAGTGTAGATTTAGAGAGAAAAGAGAATTGAGTCAGGAAACTCTCAGTGGCTTTTGGAATAATTAGGGAAGTTAATGAGAATCTGAATGATATCAGGAATAAAGAAGAAAGAATTTGAGCAAGCAGTGAGAAATGTGAAGTTGGAGTTCAGGAGAGAAGTCACAGCCAGGGTACAAGACTTAATAATAAAGTAATCTTTTTTTTTTTTTTGAGCCCACTCTTGCCTGGGCTAGAGTGCTGTGGTGTCAGCCTAACTCACAGCAACCTCAAACTCCTGGGTTCAAGCAATCCTCCTGCCTCAGCCTCCCGGATAGCTGGGACTACAGGAACGCACCACCGTGCCCAGCTAATTTTTTCTACTTTTTGTTGTTTGGCTAATTTCTTTGTATTTATAGTAGAGACGGGGTCTCACTCTTGCTCAGGCTGGTCTCGAACTCCTGAGCTCAAGCAATCTTTCCGCCTCGGCCTTCCAGAGTGCTAGGATTACAGGCATGAGCCACTGTGCCCGGCCATAAAGTAATCTTGTACTTTATACTTTACAAAGTATTTTCATTTAAGAATTCTAGGTGCAGAACTGACAGCTAAAGAAATGAGATCTACAAAAGAAAAAAGCATGCCAAAGACAAATCACTGGAAGAATTATCTACATAAAGCAATGAAGAGTGGAAAAAAATCAGAGAAAATGACAAAGATAGAATACACTATCATTAAAGAATCATGGAAGAAAGACAAGGTAAGTAAGGAGTAAGAGGGATGGTTCAGTGTAAAACGAGATCAAAGAGAATAAAGAATAAGAAAATGAGAATGAATTTTGGTGATTTTCAAGAGTTATGTCAACAAGAAGGCTAGTCAGACTATAATAAATTTAGAAATGAGTGGATGATCATGAAGGCTATTTATTAATACAAACCACTCATTCATTAACTTTAGAAGGGAAAAAAGGAGAAAGGACAACAATTTTAAGGGGGCCAAATATTATGGGAAGGCATTAAAAAAAAACAACTAGTATATCTGCAGGCTCAGGGAAAGGAAGATGTAACAGAGAAGAAGCTGAAGATACACAGCGGAAATAATACTATAAAGAGATTCTTCTATCAAAACAGTTAACACATCAAATTCTAATTTCTTGTTTAATTAAAAGAGCTCTCAACAAAATAGCAACCGTTGGTAGGAACCCTGTATGTCTTACTCATCTTTGTATATGCAGCACCTGTAGCACTAGTGGGGCACAAGTAAGAAGAGGACTTGTGGTATATTAATGTAATTTATAGGCCTCCCTCTAACTCTATGTAATTGTTGAATGTATAGAAAAAGGGACACACACTCCCATATACCCTTCTATTGGGAAAGAGATCTGTGTATCAGAAAAAACTTATTTTGAGTAGATGCCTATCTTCTAGAACAGCTCAGACAAACCCATTCTTGGCTAATGTAGGGGGATGTAAGTGGAAATCTTATAATTTAAGTAAACTCGTGAATTATTTTTTTAAAAAAGACTCTTTAGTACAATAATGCCAATATTATTATTTCATGAATAATAGGGTCAAAATGATGCTAAGATGACAACTGCTTTTCTCACGTGAGGCTAGACTGTGTCACCTTTGAAAGCAAATTAGTATTTATATGATGATACGTATTTGCTAGGACTCTTTGGAGCTATTATTAAGTGCAGCCCTCTTCTGCGACAAGAAGAGACTGAGATCAGAACTCTTAAAATTTAATCCCACTTCTAAAACTATAGCCTGCCCTTTCATCTTCAAAGCAGGCAAAGACAAAGTGGAGAAAAGCCTCCAATAGCATCTTGCCGAAGTCTTCACGTAAGAAAGGACCCAGGGCCCAGACTTCTTTTGAGAAGTCATCTTCTTCACAACTTCGCAGGTAGAAGATTCGTATCTGTGAAGGGATATAATTTCCCAAGAAGGTAGGTGACTACACCAAAAACTAAAGGGGCCTTGAGGAGGGTCTTCGAGAGGAAGATGAGAGAGACACAGGAGAGACAGAAAGAGAACATCCTCATCCCAAGACTGAAGACCGTGAGGCTTATCCCTTCATCGCACTGTATGATAAAAGGGAAAGGATTCATTAGTTAAAACTGCTTGTCTTCCTGTTTGGTACCTACTTGACTCACGATAAAAGGATTGTATAGACCTTCACTGTTTGCTTAGTGACTGTTTAGTCTGGGAAAGGTCAGAATGGAGGTTCCACGGAAGGAGAAAGTATGTGCCAAAGAGCTGCAGCCAAGACGCAGCTGACGCAGAGCACCAGCCCTTGCAGATCATGCAGAAAGCTGTCAAGGGGAAAGAACTACAGTGGTCCCCCCTTACCCAAGGGGAATATGTTCCAAGACCTCCAGTGGAGGCCTGAGTCTGCAGATAATACAAACTCTGTATTTACTATTCGCAAGTCCCTTTTTCTTTCTTCAAAACTTCACAGGTAGAAGATTCATTCTTATAGTAGATCTTTAGCAACCTCAGCATATGATTTTTTTCTTTCCTTTTTGTCTTTTTTTTTTTTGAGACGGAGTCTCACTCTGTTGCCCTGGCTAGAGTGAGTGCAGTGGCGTCAGCCTAGCTCACAGCAACCTCAAACTCCTAGGCTCAAGCAATCCTTCTGCCTCAGCCTCCCGAGTAGCTGGGATTACAGGCATGCACCACCATGCCTGGCTAATTTTTTCTATATATTTTTAGTTGTCCGATTAATTTCTTTCTATTTTCAGTAGAGACGGGGTCTCACTCTTGCTCAGGCTGGTTTCGAACTCCTGAGCTCAAACAATTCACCCGCCTCGGCCTCCCAGAGTGCTGGGATTACAGGCGTGAGCCACCGCGCCCGGCCTTTCTTTCCTTTTTAAGTCAAGATCTTTCAACTTTCACCTTCTCACTTAGAGAAAGGACTCTGCAGCTTCTCTTTGGCATATCTGAATTGCCAGCAACACTATTCTTGCGATTTGGGGCCATTATTGTAAGTTAAGTAAGAATTACTTAAAGACAAGCACTGAGACAGGACAGTCTATCTGATAACTGAGACAGCTACTAAGTGACTAACAGGTGGGTAGTGTCTACAGCCTGGACAAAGGGATGATTCACATCCCCAGCAGGACGAAGTGGGGTGGCAAGAGATTTCATCACGCTATCAGAATGGTACACAATTTAAAACGTATGAATTGCTTATCCCTGGAATTTTCCATTTAATATTTTCAGACTGCTGTTGAGTAACTGAAACCATGGAAAGGAACACCATGACTAAGGGGAGATTATGGTACGTATCAGGAGATCACTTCACCTAGGGGTGACTTTGCTGAGATCCAGTCAGGCTAAGTTGCCTTGACTGCCTTGCCTACTCTTAATCCCCCAAGGGTAGGAAGAAATATTCTTCATAAAATAGGCACAAGAGGGAGAGGAACAGGTGGCAATGGAGGACTTGAGAGAGACAGCCAACACAAGTGAGTTTTAAGATCTTAGTTCCAGTTCTTCTATTAATTAGCCATCTGATCCTGAACAAGTTGTAATGTCTCCATGCCTCATCTCTGAGTGAAGAGGTTGAGCTAAAATGGTCTATCAGTAGCTCTGACCTTCCAAGATAAATTCTGTGCTCAAAGTGTTACATGGACTGTTTATCTGTAATCTGATCAGCATGACTAGCGAAGAGTAATACAACTAGGTTATATTCTAGCCAAATGAACTTCACCCAAACAAAACCTGTTCTATTCAAATTATGAATCAAATTTTTCCTATTCAATCGGTAGATTTGAAAGACTTTAACTGGGCATGTACAATCAAATTTGAGCTAACATCTGAACCCGGGTTGCAATATGTACACATACATATACGTATCTTTTAAGTTGACATATTAATGTTAAAATGTATACTTACTTAGTAGTTTAAATACTAAAAATCCAAAATACTCTTAACATTAAAAATAAATAAATGCAACATTTTTCAGGAATATAAACCTAAAATCTGTGAAGATAATCATGAGAATTAATTAATATTTTCAAATTTTTAAAGAAATTTGTTTTCTCTGTTATATATTATAAATAATGTTATAATCTCTAGAATCATTAATTCATTATTTGGATACCTACCTATGTATGTACTATATGTGCCCTCGCAATTAATAAAAAACATCTGACCATTGTGAAGAAAAATTTGAAGATATTTTTCTGTTTAGCTTATTAAACTGGTAATTTACCTACATTAGTGAGTAAACACTGTATCAATTTTTTAATTTATAAGAAATTTTTTAGACCAATAAGGGAGGGTATGTAAATAGTTTATGATTAACAAAGATCTTATTAAACAATTGCACTGAGAATATAATCATAAAATAAAAGGGTAATTAAATGAGTTATTGCCCTTCTTTGTAGTAGATATTAGCTTGTGTGCACCCTTTTGTAAACATATTACAATTGACCTTTGAACAACACAAGTTTGAACTCTGTGAGTCCACTTATATGCAGATTTTTTTCCACCAAAGGCAAATGGAAAATACAGTCAGCATTCATGGAACACCCATGTATATGGAGAGTTACCCATGTAGGTGGAAGGCTGACTTTTCATATATGCAGGTTCTACAGAACTGACTATGCATCTTGAGTGTGCATGGATTTTGGCATACACTGGGGAAGGTGGGTAGGGAGAGGAGTCCTGGAACTAATTCCCCTCACAAACCAGGGGACAACTATACTTATATCTAAAGTGATAAATTTTGGACAATGTCAATCTACTTTTTAGAAAAAAACAAATTAACAAAATTAGGAACTATTTGGTTTGTAACTTAAGTGTACACTAATTTAAAGACCTAATTGTTGGTTAGTAAGCTGAGAGTTCTGTGCCATGACTAGCTTGCACCAAAAGAAAAGTTTGTTGAGAGCCGGCGTACACAGCAGCTGAAGGCATGGGATCAGAGGCTGGCTGCCTGCAGTGAATCCCAGCTGAGCCACTTACTAGCCGGATTACTCTGGGCAAGTTTCATAATCCCTTTACTCCTCAATTTCCTCATATGAAAGCAAGAAAGAGATACTAATGTCTATGTCATAATACTAGATATTATGACACATAGAGATACTAGTGCTTACTTCTTAAGACTGTTGTGAGGATTCAATGAGTTAATATGTGAAAACCACTCACTTATTTTTCAAAGTATGGGTTTAGGGCACAAAATATAGTTAGAATGAATAGTGACTATGGTGAACAGTAAGTTATGGTACACTTTAAAATAAATAAAAGAGTGGAACTGGAATGTTCCTAACACAAAGAAATGATAAATGCTTGAGGCAATGGATACCCCAATTACCCTGATCTGATTAATATAAATTGTATGCCTGTTTCAAAACATCACAGGCACCCTATAAATATATAACTATTATGTACCCATAATTAAAAATAAAAAAATTTTGAAAACTAAAGTACAGGTTTAAATGTTTACAATATATTTATACTCCAAAAAATTTTCATATGGTAACATTTCTGCTGAATACATAAAAACTTAATCTGACAATTAAATGTCGATCTGAAATATAAACCGGAAAATTAACTCATTAATTTGCAAAATGTCTTGTTTCAGACTTTAGTAAGTACACAAAGACATCTGAGACAAGCCGTTATACATACACACAGGCATACCTCGTCTTATTGCGCTTTGCTTTATTGTACTTTACAGATATTGTGCTTTCCTCAAAATAAAGGTTTGTGGCAACCCTGTATCAAGCAAGTCTATTGGTGACATTTTTCCAACAGCATGTGCTCACTCTGTGTCACTGTGTTACATTTTGGTAATTCTTGCAATATTTCAAACTGTTTCATTATTATTACATCTCCTATGGTGATCTGCGATCTCTGATGTTACTACTGTAATTGTTTTGGGGGTGCCACAAACCACACCCATATAAAATGGCAAACTTAATAAATACCGTGTATGTTGCGAATGCTCCACTGACTAGCCATTCTCTCTCCTCAGGCCTCCCTATTCCCTGAGACACAACAATATTAAAATTAGGCCACTTAATAACCCTACAATGGCCTCTAACTGTTCAAGTGAAAAGAAGAGAGTTGCCTCTCACTTTACATCAAAAGCTAAAAATGAGGTTAGTCAAGAAGGCCTGTCAAAAGCTGAGATAGGCCACAATTAGGTCTCTTGTGCCAAACAGAAATTTGTGAATGAAAAAGAAAAGTACCTGAAGGAAATTAAAAGTGCTACTCCAGTGAAAATACAAGCGATAAGAAAGCCAAACAGCCTTATTGCTGATATGGAAAAAGCTTTAGTGGTCTGGATAGATCGAACCAGCCACAGCATTCCCTTACACCAAAGCCTAATCCAGATGCAGGCCTTAATTCTCTTCAATTCTATGAAGGCCGAGAGGTGAGGAAGCTGCAGAAGCAATATTGGAAGCTAGCAGAGGTTGGTTATTGGGTATAGGAAAGCAGCTGTCTCCGTAACATAAAGTACAAAGTGAAGCAGCAAATGCTGATGCAGAAGCTACAGCAAGTTATACAGAAGATCTAGCTAAGCTGATGGAGGTGGCTACACTATACAACAGATTTTCAATGCAGACAAAACAGCCTTCTATTGGGAGAAGATGCCATCTAGGACTTTCATAATTAGAGAGGAGAAATCAATGCTTGGTTTCAAACCTTAAAAGGACAGGCTGACTCTCTTGTTAGGGGCCAATGAAGCTGGTGACTTTAAGTTGAAGCCAATGTTCATACACCATTCTGAAAATCCCAGGGCCCTTAAGAAGTATGTTAAATCTACTCAGCCTGTGCTCCATAAATGGAACGACCAAGCCTGGATGACAGCACATCAGTTTACAGCACGGTTTACTGAATATTTTAAGCCCACTGTTGGAAACTACTGATCAGAAAAAAAGGCTCCTTTCAAAATATTATTGGTCATTGACAATGCAGCTGGTCACCCAAGAGCTCTGATGGAGATATACAAGGAGATGAATGTTGTTTTCATGCTTGTCCATTCTGCAGCCCATGGATCAAGGAGTAATCTCAACTTTCAAGTCTTGTTATCTAAGAAATACATTTCATAAGGCTACCGTTGCCACAGATAGTGATTCCTCTGACGGATCTCGGCAAAGTCAATTGAAAACCTTCTGGAAAGGATTCGCCAGTCCAGATACCATTAAGAACATGGGAGGAGGTCAAAATATCAACATTAACAGGACTTTGTAAGAAGTTGTATCCAGCCCTAGTGGAAGACATGGAGAGGTTCACGACTTCAGTGGAAGTCACTGCAGAGGTGGCAGAAATAGCAAGAGAACTAGAATTAGAAGTGCAGCCTGATGATGTGATTGACTGCTGTAATCTCTCACGATAAAATTTTAAGATGAGGAGTTTCTTCTTATGGATAAGCAAAGAATGTGGTTTCTTCAGATACGGAATTTACTCCTAGTGAAGATGATGTGAACATTGTTGAAATGACAACAAAGGATTTAGAATATTACATAAATTTAGTTGATAAAGCAGGGTTCAAAATAATTGACTCCGATTTTCAAAGAAGTTCTACTGTGGGTAAAATACTATCAAACAACATCACGTGCTACAGAAAAATCTTTAGTGAAAAGAAGAGTCAATCGTTGTGGCAAATTTCATTGTTGTCTTAAGAAACTGGCACAGCTACCCCAGCTTTCAGCAACCACCCTGATCAGTCAGCAGCCATCAACACTGAGGCAAGATCCTCTACTAGCAAAAACACTATAATTCACTGAAGGCTCAGATGATCTTCATTTTCTAGCAATAAAGTATTTTTTAATTTAGGTATTTTTTACATAGTGCTACTGCATAGGTATGCATATGCTATTACACTACAGCATAAACATAAACTTTTATATTCACCAAGAAACCAAAAAAATAGCGTGACATTTTATTGTAATATTTGCTTTCCTGCAGTGGTTGGGACTAAACCCGCAATATCTCCAAGGTACGCCTGTACGCTAAAATTAGTCACCCTGTGATTTCTTTTTTTGAGGAAAATAAAACTTTCGAAATTAAATCTGGACATACCTCTAACATTAACTGTGTAAACTCTTCATTACTAAGGAATGTAGGTTTCCAGTCCTGTCGAATTTCACTAGCATCTGACTGTGCAGTGATTTCTGTGAACAGATCGACACATTAGTGGCACACTCCAACCACCAGTGGAGTGCAAAAGTCCTACGAGTTGCCTTCTCTCTTCCCGCTCCAATTAAAGATGAGAACCACAGGCAGTAACATTCATTGGTCTGGATATCAAGAGGTCCAGGTTTTGGTATGATAAAATACTAGAGTTAATGTGGCAAATCTTAGGTTTGGTCTCCTGGTAATTCTAGTCTCTTGGGTTTTTCTCTGGGGAGCCGGGACAGCCTGTGTTGCTGATAGCTTCCTATCTGACACAATGAGCAAACAACAATCAGAAAAGCAGATTAGATCAAGTTTGTGGCCAAGCATTTTGAAGAAAGTCTTTTTTCCTCTTCCTTTCCTTGCTATTCAAATGGTAATATCTAGAGAAGAGATAAGGAAGTGAGCCTGGTGGGAAGGGGCCAAAGAGGTCAGTCAATCTGCTTTCAACAAGACCTTAGGCCTGCCTAATGCTGGGCAAAAAGATCCTCCCAGTTCTGGGTGCTCCATCTTAATTAAATCAAGGAGACTCAATATTTTGAGTAAAAACTTTATAGTAATATTCCAAGAGTGATTTTGCTTAGTGTCCCCTTTGTATATGTTCTTAGTGGTACAGAGCTGGTCAAAAATTTGGAGATCCCTGGCTTGGGACACATATTTTGTCACTCTTATGACTATTTATTTTGCTACACATTTTTTTTTTTTTTTTTGAGACAGAGTCTCACTGTGTTGCCTGGGCTAGAGAGCCGTGGCATCATCCTAGCTCACAGCAACCTCAAACTCCTGGGCTCAAGCGATCCTCCTGCCTCAGCCTCCCGAGTAGCTGGGACTACAGGCATGCACCACCATGCCCGGCTAATTTTTTCTATATATTTTTAGTTGTCCAATTAATTTCTTTCTAATTTTAGTAGAGACGGGGTCTCGCTCTTGCTCAGGCTGGTTTTGAACTCCTGAGCTCAAACAATCCGCCCGCCTTGGCCTCCCAGAGAGCTAGGATTACAGGCGTGAGCCACCGCGCCCGGCCTTTGCTACACATTTCTAATAGATTTAGTTATGAGAAAGCTATTCATAAATGATGAAATCTGAACTGTTTAGGTAACGTTTTTAAATGCAGACATATTAAAACAACCAGGCAGAATAAAAATCTATGTCACAGAATATATTCTACAAAATATACTCTATAGTAAGAAGTATGGACTAAGTTGTTTTGATTTTATTGTCAGGTATATAAATACACTGTATTAAACTGTCACCCAAAATTTAGCATATTAAGAAATGCCTGTGCTGGAATATGAAGAGTAATTAAGAAGAGTTACTAAATCTGTGGAATACAATCATGCCTTTCAAATTCACATCAATTACATACATTTGGGACATGGATTTAAATCCATAAGCAACTCCAGTCAAGTTTAATTAAACACAGGCCTATTTTAGAGTAAGTATACAAGAATTCCCTTTTACCTTAACATAAATATTATTATTTTTGTGACAATTATATATCTAATTTTGGAAAAAAATCCACTTACTGCAAAAATTCACCCTATTGTCGGGGGAAATGTATACATTTCGTTTCATTTCATTCAACAATCATTTATCGAACTCCTAGTGTCTAAGGGACTGATTTCAACAAGTGTGCCATCTAACATGGGGCACTGAGGTTAGTGAGAATACTGTCTGTGGAGGTAAAATGTAATGATACTGGCAGCAATAAATATTAAGATAAGCAATTTTGACACATTTACAAAAGAATCAACAGAATTTAGGAACTATGATATGGTACTAAGGAAGATGAAAACCAGTCTAAGTTTTTTCACATTTGAATCCTGGGAGACTAAAAGGATGGTTGTATAAAAATGAAAAAAAAAAAAAAAAAGGCAAGTTAAGAGAAAGAAATGACTTGACAAAACGAAAATGAATTCAGTTTTAGATGCACTGAGTTTGAAACATGCAAAAGAAAGATCTAGAAGTTATCTGGGAATACAAGGCTAAAAAGTTTGCATCTAAAAATAGAGATCTGGTAGTTTAATAGAGACACAATAGCTGAAGCTATGGAATGAGATAACCAAGAAAAGCATGTATAGAAAGCAAGAGAACAAGGATAAGACTGAGAAATGTCACATTTAGAAGGCAGAAAGAGAGGAAAGAAGTTAGTTTCAGACAGAAAAGGGGAAGTGAAGGTGCAATACAATGGAATCCAAGGGGAATAACAATCAAGAGAGGATAGATCAGAATTTCCAGTGCTAGAGAGATGCAGAAAAGGATGAGGTATAAGAAAAAGCTATTGCTCTTCTGGGAGGGGGGGTTAATATCATTAGTGAAATTAACAAAAATAATTCCAATGAGTGGTGAAGCATCAACAGTCTGGTAAGGCATTACCAAGTGAGCCAGGGAAAAGTAGAGAAACTAGTTACTAAGTGTCCTTCTGAGGTCTACATTTTCATTTGCGTCTGAAAAAGGAAATGTCCTTTTATAGGTTTTTTAATCTATTATTTCTGTTAACCAAAATATTTAATATTCTTTACATTTTCTTTTCATGGCTCATTCAGTCAAGGCAATTTTGTTTGATTAACAACTACTTCATTTAAAACACAGTATTGCCTAGATATACATTGAAACAGTATTTTAAAATGACATATAAGACCCTTATATGATCTAGTTCTATCCTTTCTTTCAAATACACCCATAACTTTCCAACACAGACATGCTCCAGTTTACAATGAAGTCTCCCTGCTTCTCTGATTTTGCACATATTTCCTCTGTATGAAATGTCTTCCTTACTTAATCTAAAAGACTCAGCTGAAAGATTCAGTTATTTTAAGGCCTTCTCTGATGCGTTTTTCCTCTGTGTTCTCCACTGTAAGTTCATGGTTGACAAGCACTACTCACATTATAATTATTTCTTTTATAACTATGTGCTTACATATTTGTCTCCGCTGGCTTGACTTACTTCAGAGCCAGGATTGCTACCCTTGCATCGTGAGAATTGAGGATACAGTAGGAACTAAATAAATGTTTGTTGAATGAAAGAAAGAACGTAATTAGGAAATCTTTTAAAAGGCAGTTATAAAAGCTGAAGAAGCATCCAATCTTAAGCATCTCTGTCAGGATTCTTTGAGAGTCTTTTATTAATAAACACCACCCATTTTACAAAGTTAAAAATTTACCTTTATGCTTTCGTAAAAAATCAATGCTTTTCTGAAGAACAGTGGATTTGTCCATCTTTCTAGCATTACCAGGAAGCATGGATCCCAGCTCTTTGATGAGAACATTAAACTGATCTCTACGTTTCTTTTCAGATTTGTTTCTAGAGACTCTGATGAAATAAGAAATTAAATAATCAGTTTTTAAACAATCCATTTAATTACACAAATAACTTAATACAATGCTAATTTGGACACGACACAGCATGTACTTCTGTCAATACAGATGATAAATACTCCTAGGTTACAAATATTTCCTAGGTTATCAACAATATAGTTAGTTAATTTGGGCAATAATTTTTCACCTCAGTTTAACATCACTAAAGAAACTTTTACATATCAAATATTTGACATACATGTTTTTGACATACACACCAGTAAGACAAACTGCATTTAAATCATAGGTTTTATTTAATCTAATATTTACCAATGATTGTAAACTTGTAAGATTATAAGTATTAATGAGATACATTTTGTGGAAGTACATATAATACAGAAATACAAATTATTAAAAATCGTTGAATAGAAGACAGTTATCCATCTAATGTAAGTTTTAAACCAACAGAAATCTAAAACTGAAAATCTTCTCCCAAGGTTACTCATTCATTCTTCCTCTATACTCCTACATCCTAGCCGCCAACACAGAGTTGTAACCATTTGTTTGCATATCTGGCTCTCCATTAGGATGTAGGCCCCTTGACAATGGAGCCCAAATTTTTTCACCTAAGCACTTAACCATAATGTCTAACTAACAGCAAGCATTCCAAATATATGTACTAAATGAATAATTACTGCTATTCTATATGAAGCAGTAGCTTGTAAACAAAGAGCTCCTGAGACAAACTCAATTGTTTATAAAGCAATTAATCATTTCATAATACCATTAATTATCTGTTTCAAAACAAAGCAAAATACTTTTCCAAAAGGTCAGAGGATAATTTTATTTAATTTATGAACTGTATACCAATATTCTAATCTCTTCCACCTTTCTAATATATCTAAATTCTTAAAGCAGATAGTTTTTGGAAATCATTAATTTACTGTTTATTTACATTTATTTACTATTTTACATCTCTAATCAAACTACCTTTTTGCTTTGTCCTTGTCATCTTCTTCAACCAACCCATCGAAAATACTACTGTCATCTCTAAAAGAAAAAAGAAAGTCAGGAGAAAAAATAAGAGCAGACTCAGTAAGCAAGAACAATATCAAAATGATATGTAAATCAACTCAGTTATATCCTAGAATTTTTATAGTCAATAGATTACATAAATTCAAACTACTAACCTGTTTTCTAGTATTAGAAAATCAAAGTTTAGCTGTATTTATATTTTTAAAAGTTTATTACATATATAAATTTTAAAAGTATTTACACTTAGCTATACTGTGTATACAACATGCTAAACAATTTAATTTAACCAGTTTAAATACCTTGTTTCAAATGTTTAGTAATCAGTGAAAATCTATAGAAATTCAGTGTATTTGCCATTATATAAAATGATTCACTTGAAATTACTTTTATTAACTATAACAGCATAATTAAAATTTTTTCTGAGACATTCACTTTACAAAACCACAAATTACTCATAAACAGTATCTGGCACATTATCTTATATTAATACATCTCATTCATTTACTAATTCATTTGACAGATATTTATTAGCATTCATGTGCCAGGCTCTGCCCTGGATGTGGTTACAGAGCAGTGAACAAGACAGTTAGCTGCTCTCGTATAGCTTATTTTCTAGTATAAGAAACTAACATGAAAATGTGTGATAAGTTCTAATTTATTAAAAGGGGTGATTTTTAGTTACTAGGTAGTTACTTTAGTCTGAGTGGTTAGGGGAGAACTTGCTGAGGTGGGAACATTTGAGCTGAGATCTAAGTGACAACAAGTGGCTGGCTACAGGAAGATGTAAGGGAAGAACATTATAACAAAAGGAATCAAGAGCACTGGTGCCTAACTCCTTAACTAAGAAGAAATATTAAATAGTTTCCGGTGATTTATGCGCTTTTACATGAACTCACTATTAACTCCTTTAGCCGCACCTTTCTATGACCTATAAAGGCCTATAACCTATAAAATGGAACTCATTACTGAGATCATCTGCATTACTTTCATCACACAGGTCCATGTGTGGACTTTTGGGATGCTGTATGCCCTGAAATTTGTGAGAAATTTTATGTGTATATGCATTTTTTTGAGGATAGAGTTGGTAACTTTATGACATGCACAGAGTTAAAGAACGCACATTAATAATCACTGCTTTATGTCTGAACACACAGATATCATCCCCTAGATGTCATATTGTCTAGAATGGGAATTGGTAATCATTCAGAAGTCCAAAGCCAAAATCGTATTTTCTCCCTGGAGGGCGGTGAAAAAGTATTCTTTCTGAGGGGAAGACTATCGTAGATCCCACCTGCAACTGTGGCATAGTCCATGGTACAGGCAGGCCTTACTAAGGAAATTTCTTGCCCCTCAGGTCTTAAGTTCCGGTGGGGTGTATATCTTTACTGTTTAGCTCACAGAAAAGGAGGAGAGCTGCCCCCAGATGTCAAAAGTCTTCTCTGTGTACAAATCTAGCAGCAAAACTCGTGAAGAATCCCCAGTGGCTGAATCGCACAGTACAGTGTAATAAAAGCACAGTAACTTTAATGTCAGACAGACCGACATAGGTCTCATCTCTTACTCTGTGATTTTAAACAAGTTATTTAACCTCTCTGACCCACAATTTCCTCATCTGTAAAACCCTATGGAATCATTAAGAGATTAAATGAAGTAACATAAAAAGTATTCTGTACATTCACTGTCAAAAAGTAGGTGTTTAAAAAATGTTACTGTGTTACATCAAATTTAAGATGCTATTTGACTATTAAGACTCACCACTATTTTATGTGCCCCTAGAAAGAAAAAAAAGTGCTACCAATTAAATTATGAGAAGCCAATTGAAAGACCCAGCTAATGTCAGAGATGTTAAAATGTAAAAAACACAAAAACTTACAGTCTTAAAATCAAAGAAATAAGGGGATTCATCCTTTTCCCAAGAGTAAGATTTAAAGATTACAATTTTAACTAATGAAATTCTAATTATAGTTACTTCTTTCTCAGTCACAAATGCTAAAACACTTGAAAGGATGAAGTTAGCACCAAGAGATAAGGAGAAAAAGGACTCTAGAAGGTGCCAAGAAAACATTTGCAACTGTTACAATTTCTTTCAGAGAAGAAGCTATGGCCAAATCATTCAAAATTACAGCTCAAGACCCATTTAAAACACAAGCCATAGTCTGTTACTCTGCCTGGAGAAAATATTGATGAGCCTTACTCTTACACCATGTTTGTTCAATACAGAAACTGAATTTAATAGTAATTATGTTCTATCTATTTGATACATACCATTATTCTAGTAGTGAATTTTTAAACAGTTTTATATAATTCAAAATAAGAGTCTCTAAAAACATACCTGTCAACAATCGAGCTCATTTTACTACAGCTTACGGTAAACAACATAACATATTACGTTTTCGTCTTGTGGTAGACATTTGTACTTCTCCTTAAGTGAAAAGAAAAATAAATGGTCATTAGTTTTCTAAAAAGCTTACTTTTACAAAGTTTCCTTGAGAAATACTACATGTTATCATAGAGACTTCAAAATGTTTTGTTTGTACCAAAGGCTGGAACATTATTTTCAAGCGTATGTCTTTGGCTGAGGTACATTTGGGGGCTTTTTTTCTCCTTCTGAAAGAGGACTACAGAAAAAAAAAAATCAGTTTCTTAATTCACTTTCTTTCTACTATAAAATAATCAAAAGGGACATTCTTAATAGTCAGTAAATAAATTTGACTACATAACTATAGTAATACTGTCTATTCAGCAATAAATATATGTCAAAAGCCTATTTTCTGTTAAATAGTATGGCGGGCTTTGGGAACGTAAGAATGAAAGACAATCCCTGTAGGCACAAATTTGCAAATGAGTGGGGAGATAGATAGCTAAATAATTATAAGAGGTATAATGAAGATACATACTACGTAATGGCATCACTGGGCAAAGGAAAAACTAAGTATACCCATGGGAATTGGAGAGGGGAGTCAAAGGAAACATTCTTGATGACAATGAGTTTATGGAGTCAAGATTCTTGTTACTGCAAATATGGTCCAGAGACCAGCAACATCAGCATACTCTGAGAGCCTGTTAAAAGGTGAAATCTTGGGCCCTATTCTAGTCCTACTAAATCAGAAGCTACATTTTGACAAGGTTCCCATGGGATAATAATGTATAACATTTGAGAAGCATAGACTAGAGGACAGAAAGAGGTAAATAATTAAAAAGATTCTAAGCTACCACAATGGCAATTTGCAAAGGTACAGGACTTAATGCAATAAGAGAACACCATATTTGAAAAACTAAGAGGTTTAGCATTTTCCTTATGGAAAATCTACGCAGGTTACAATTTAAAGTTTTAATTACTAGGGCATAAAATGAGAACAAAAAATAGTAGAGGGGCAAAGGCAAGTCAAATAGACAAGAGCCTTCTTATTAAGGGTCACATACCTACATTGAAGGAATTAAAACTTACTGCTTTAAAATTGATTGCAAGCCTAAAATCTGTCTTTCTATATTCTACAGACTGAGTATCCCTAATCTAAAAATCCAAAGTCTGGGCTGGGCGCGGTGGCCCACGCTTGTAATCCTAGCACTCGGGGAGGCCGAGGCGGGCGGATTGTTTGAGCTCAGGAGTTCGAAACCAGCCTCAGCAAGAGCGAGACCCCGTCTCTACTAAAAAAAATAGAAAGAAATTATCTGGACAACTAAATATATATATAGAAAAATTAGCCGGGCATGGTGGCACATGCCTGTAGTCCCAGCTACTCGGGAGGCTGAGGCAGTAGGATCGTTTGAGCCCAGGAGTGTGAGGTTGCTGTGAGCAAGGCTGATGCCACGGCACTCACTCTAGCCAGGGCAACAGAGTGAGACTCTGTCTCAAAGAAAAGAAAAAAACAAAAATCCAAAGTCTGAAATGCTCCAAAATCTCAAACTTTTTGAGCACCAACATGACTTTCAAAGGAAAATGCTGACTGGAGCATTTTGGATTTCAGATTTTTGGATTAGTGATACTCAGTTGGTAAGTATACTGCAAATATTCCAAAATCCAAAATATTTCTAGTCCCAAGGGTTTCGGCTTACGAGATAAACAATCTGTATATAGTCTTTCTAAAAGTATAATAAAAGTTTCATCTACACAGACGCTATGCCCTATAGTTAAGTATAGAATAACCATCTTAATTCTAAAATAAACATCCTAACAAACAGTTTTGAGGCGTAAGAAATTCTACTCTATTATCTTTTTTATTTAAAATTTAGAAAATAATATAACGTATAACTCTAACCAAACCACAGAAGATTGAAGGTACTATAAGAACATGAGATGCTAAAAGATTCTATCAGTGTTTTCAAATCCACCTTCATGAGAGGAAGAGAGACCAACCGTTGGTAACGATGCCGCATTGCCTACGTGGTTATGGCTGCAGAAGTGGGGCTGTGAAGGGTGAAAAATTCTTAAAAGAAAATGAGTGAGGGAGTCAAAGGTAAAAGCAAAAAGGACTAACACCACGATAAAACACTGTGATTTTAAGTGTCGGGGTAACATCAGCAGACAGAACACAGAATTAGAGAAATTTAGAGTTAGAAGAAAATTTAAAGATCACCTAAATATACACTCCTCTGGTCCAAAAGACGTACTTGCCATAAATGGTAACAACAGAGGTTGGTTCTATCACTAGAACAAAAAGAACAGTACAAAAGTGACAGAGCAAATATGGGTGAATTCAAAAAGAAAAGTTTCATTGAAAGTTAATAGGCCAGATCTGAGCCCCCTGTTAAGGAGGCACCCAGTGAGCCCTCAGTATGTTTAATTACCAAAAGGTAGAAAACAAGACAAACTACAAAAACAAAAAACAAACAAAAAAACCACAAAGAACTCCAAGAATTAGAGGTCATACTACAGGAAGGGCCTTGCTGACTATAAGAATGAATGGAAAATAGTACAGAGGATAACAGACTGATACTTTATTAGGCTGTTTTACTATTGCTGTTAACAATATTCATCCAAAAAATAATTCTTATCCAGCTAACAGAACAGCACAAGTCTGCATCTCTAACAGTCTGGCTCAAGATCTTTTCTCTACTTTTCCAGCCAATTGATAGACATGTTTTATCTAAGAGAAAGACAGAGGAAGTAAAATAGGCCCAACTGAGTACCACAGAGCAAATGCTGGAAGATTTCCCCAAACTTCTTTAAATGGTGTCAAATTAACTTTAACAAAACAAAATGGCAAAGGTAGAACAGGCAAAACATCTTCTCTGGGGACGAGCCTAGGCCCCAAGCTTTCAATCCATAAACAGTAGCTAGAGTCACATTTGCCCATGTCATGGATTCTAAGGACACAGACGCAACGCCATGTCCCCACACAAGCTGAAGAGGAATTTCGAGTATATAATCTAATATAGAATAAATGTTATTATTAAAAGGTTTTTTTTGTAAGCCTGACATTTTGAGCCAGAATGACATACAATAACATGTCTTTGAAAGGAACAGGGGCAGTTACTATAATCTAAAGTTCACCAATTATGAAAGATCAAGCTACAACTAGGAATCCTATACTTAAGCAACTTGAGCTCAAAGTCATTCAGTGATATGACTTCCCATGAGCACACATCACATTACTATTTTATGACAACAGAGCGTAATCGTGGCATGAGTCTTTACAAACATCACTTTAAAAACTAGCTTTAAAAAACATTCATCATTCATGGCACCACGGATGAGCTGCAGGACATGCTGCGTGAAGTAAGTCAGGCACAGAAGGATAAATACCACACTCCTATCTGGAAACTCATAGAATAGAGAGTAGAATTTTGGTTACTAGAGGCTGGGAACAGCAGGCGGGAGGGAAGAATAGGGAGACGTTGATTAATGCATACAAAATTACAGCTTGATAGAAAGAATACATTCTAGCATTCTATAGCACTGTAGGGTGAATACAGTTAACAATAATTTATTGTATATTTTCAAAAAGCTGGAAGAGTGGACTTTGAATGTTCCCAATACAAAGAAATGATAAATGTCTGAGATGAGGGATATACTAATTACCCTGATTTGATCATTATACACTGTATACATGTGTTGGGAAACATCACTCTGTATCCTGTAAATATGTACAATTATTATTTTTTAACTAAAAATAAAAGGGAAAAATACTCATTAGATGGAGAGATTAGTAGCTAAGAGACTTTATAAACGATTCAAATTTCATCAAACAGAAACAGATATGTTTTTGATTCAGCATGCAACATTATACATAATTACGGAAAATCTCAGTATCTGACAGTACATCTTTGGAAAATAACCCTTACAAATAAAAAACATATTCTGTACTAAAAATAAACTGTGTAGTTTCAAATGACATGATATTACCTGTCTTCTGAATTCCATCTGCTGCCACCTAAGAAGGCTTTCCACTCCTGCATCACCAATTCCTCCCTCTATAACTGGATTATTTCTGACCAATATATTAACACATCTCAGTGTCTCTTATCTAAAAAGCAAACCAACCAAAAAAAAAAAAAACTCTCCTGACCCACCAACCCTTCAGCTACTGCCCTACTTTTCTGCTCCCTTTCCCAGGAAAGCTGCTTGCCTGAGTTACGTACAGTTGGTAGAGTTGCTGTTTCAACATCCTTACGTCGATTCTCCTTATTTTAAAATTTAGTGTTTATTTTCACCAAGGTATACATGTATGGTTTAAAGAATCCAAACGGTTTTATAAGACTTATTAAAAAATCAGAAGTCCTCTGTCCTCTGATCCCCATTTTCCACTTTCAACCACTTCTATTTTTTTTAAAACGGTTTCTTTTGGTATTTAACTCCCGATCTCTAATATCTTTTATTTTGTCACTTGCTGATTCTTTTGGTTTAAAGAATCCAAACGGTTTTATAAGACTTATTAAAAAATCAGAAGTCCTCTGTCCTCTGATCCCCATTTTCCACTTTCAACCACTTCTATTTTTTTTTTAACGGTTTCTTTTGGTATTTAACTCCCGATCTCTAATATCTTTTATTTTGTCACTTGCTGATTCTTTTAGTTTTAGGTAGGGTGCCTAGACAGTCCCAATTTATTCAAGTTATGCCAATGTAATTATTAAAAGTGTCCCCTTTTGCTCTCAGAAATACTTGTTTTTTATCTACCGAATTCCACCAAGAAAAATAAGAATTTAGCTCTCTGACTCCCTAACCCTTACCTCCCATGCATGCACACTTCTACGATTTCCCACTATCATAATTTTGGACACGTGGCTACATTTGGATTTAACATTGTTATGACTCCGTAAATGCAATTCACAGCCGAGCCACACAGTACACTACAATTATGTTCCCTTTCTGAGCAGTTTTCCCTAGAATTACTATTTTATTTGTTTACCTAGTTCTGTGTGTACTTATTACCAATTCAGCTACAAACTCTTCTCTGTCTAAATCTACTCTCCATAACTTGAAATACATAACACATTCTACCAATTTCACCTTTTCACAGCTACTTCTCTTGACATCGTCTAACCTGTTTCCACTGGGACTGGATGCTATTTACCACACCTGGTGACCAGCTGTCATCTCGTGATCACTATTCGCCATCATCCTGGTATTAAGTCGTCCCTGGATGATTGCAAATAGTGGTGAATTCCCTTTAATTAACTGCATTCCCTGTCACTTGTATCCTATGCCTTCATCTTTTTTAGTTTACTTCTTTATTTTTGTTAAGTTCTTTCTCTAATAACTGCCTAAGAAAGAGGACAGGGCAGGTAAATCCTTTAAGATCTCACAAGTCTGAAACTGTCACTAGGCTATCCTTAATCAACAGTTGAGTTGGGCACTGAACACGGGGTTGGAAATCATTTTCCCCTCAGAATTTTGAAGGCTCCATTGTCTTCTAGTTTCCAGTGTAGTGTCAAGAAGTCCAAAGCCATTCTGATTACTGATCCTTTACATGTGACCTATTATTTCTTTTACTCTGAAAGCTCTCCCATGTTCTAAAATTTAACAGTGATGTGTCCCATTTTGGGTTTATTTTTATACCTGTATTGGTCACTCAACAGGCTCTTTCGAACTGGAAACTCAAATCCCCTAATTCTGGAGGGTTTTCTTGAATTCTCTATTCTTTGTTTTTCCCCCCTATTTCCTCTATTCTTTCTGGAATTCCTATTATTTGAACATTAGAAATCCTGGACTGTTGCTCTAATTTTTTTTTTCTCTCTTATTTCCATCTCTTTGTTTCTTTTTCAATATATCAATTTTATTTTTCAATCCTTTCATTGAGTTTTTCATGGTCTCCATTTCCCCCAACTTAATATTTTCTCTTTTGGTTTGGTTTTGGTCTCTCACATAAGAGGTTTTCAACAGATGTCTAGTGATCCCTGGTCACCAGCTGATATTTAAGGGCGGGGCACTAAAAAGATCACTGGAGGGTCTGTGTGACAGCGGGAAGAATAGCATAAAAACCTGGGTTCTTAATTCCCCTCAATGTTACCTCCATTCTCAGCTATGCTTGTTGCTTTATTTTATCTTTGCTAGAGAATAAATCTCAGACTTCTGCTAAGAAAGGCAAGGAGCACTTGCCTTGGTTCCAAAGTTAGGAAAAGGATCTATGGAGTATAATCACCTCTTAAATGGATTTGCCATGAATCATCCAGTCTCACCATCACTCCTATTTACAGACGAGCGCCTTTAATTCATGAGAATTTTAGGGAGTCTATAGTGTCAAGAAGTTTGTTTCTCAGCTTTCCCACAGGAGGCTCAGGATTACGGGGTTGCAAGAAAATTATTGTACTTCCTTTTGCTTTTCAGGTTCCACAATTTTGTTGCTACGGTTTCCTCTCCCGTTCTCCTAGTCTTTGTGAAAATTTTGCCTTTTGTAAAAATTCTTTTAACTTCAGCTTTACTGAGGTTTCAAGAAGAAATGAAATTTAATTGCACTCTATTTGCCATCTGTAACTGGAAGTCCCTCATTCTCTTTCTTCATCACTCTTAATTCATCCCAACACTCCACTGAAATCGCTCTCTCTTACTGGAGTTATCAGAAACCTTCATGTTGCCAAATGTAATGGCAGCTTTACTCTACTCTCTATTTTGACCTCTTAGTAATAGATGATATAGATGACCACTTCTGCATTTATTAAATACTTTCCTTCCTTGGTTTCTGTGACAGAACAGTTTCCTGCTTTTCCACTCATCTCACTGGCTGCTCCTTCTCTGACTCATACTGGCATGTGCCAAGGCTGAATGCTTCTCAATCTGTGCATACTTCCCCCAAAATATCATCCAGACACACGAGTCTCAAATCCATACCCCTAGACCAGATTTTGAAACGCAGAGTCATATATCCAACTGGCTTTTTGACATTTCTACAGATTTTACAGGTATCCAAAATATAATATAGTCAAAGCATAAACACAACTTTCTTCTGTAAATTTGCTTCTCTCCCAGTTTTCTTTTCCAACGTGATCTCCATATACTCTCCCCCGAATTTACTGCACTCCCATCACATCTGCTCTGTTCCTCAAGCATTCCACAACCATTCCTGTCCCCACTGCCTATAAAGCTCTTCTCTCAGATCTTCACATGGCTGACACCTCTTCCCATTCGGATCTCAACCAAAATGTCCCATTTTCAATGAGGCCTTCTCTGACTACCTAATGAAAGCACGTTATCCATTTTAAACCTGCATAATCCTAACCACAAATTTCTTGTTTATTTGATATTTGTCTTGCTCTAGAATGCAATCCTCATGAGAGCAGGGACAGCTTCTGTCTTGTTCACTGTATTCTCAGTATCTAAAATATCTTAACACAGGTGGTATTCAATGTTTTGTAATAAATTAATAAAAAAGGAAAATTTTTTAAATAAAAGTCTCCTCAAGTTAGTCTGTCGAAATAGTTCACAGCTGCTTTTATATGTTTTTCAGGAAAACTATCATTCTATAATGTCTTAAGATGCACTTTTCTTTACCTTTTGTACTTTTTGGATCTTTTGGACTGATTCTTCAGAAAACTGTAA